AGGCCACCTGCAGAAGGCTGCTGTCGTGCAGCCATGGCAGAGTTGCATGCTTGAGCAAAGATCAGTTGGCAAAGCTGAAAATACTGACTCCTGGCTCTTAGGGAAACAGTTTCCAGTCCCTGGTATAAGGGCTGTGTGGCAAACCCCAGGATCTTGGTCAGCTTGTTCCTCCACTCAGGGCCTGCTGCGGCCTTCGCTAGTATTCTGGCAAAGTCTGCGTGCTATGGTGCTCTCATGGACTTTGAGCTCTGTCGCTAGATTTCAGGGTATCTGCCTCATGGTCATCTGTCTCACCAACAGAGACCCTGTGGCCAGATTCAAAGTAGCAGGAACATTGGTCTTGGCAGCAAGGATACCTTAGAGCTGAGCTGCCACCCACCCTGAGGTGGTCCCATGACACCCACTGTCTGAGTCAAAGTGGGGCAGAGCTGGTGTCCTGAACTGCCCTGCAATGTGGATCATAATAGCCAGAGGGGAGAGGGGTTGCTATTACTCCCCATATCGCGGGGAGTGCTCACCCCTGAGATGTGGATCGTAATAGCCAATTACTCCCTCCTGCAATGTGTGTCCATTATTAGCAGTCTCTTTTGCTCAGGATATTAGGAACAATTTCACAGGTTGTGTGTACACAGCCTGCGATAGGAGAATGAATACCATCCTCTGCACCTCCGGATATTAGGAACCATATCACACAATGGGTGTACACTTTTTGGGAGATTTGGGATAATGTCGTCCTGTGTTTCCCTGAATATTCAGAGAAATATCACAGGGTGGCTGTACACCCACTACTCTCTTGCAGGAACATCATACTTTACCTACTGGAAATTAGGAGCAGTATCACAGACTGGGTGTCAAGCACTGTCATACTGGAAGTAATATCATGCTCTCTCCCACAAGTAATGAGGAAACAATATCACAGCGGGTGTGTACCTTCTCCGGTGTGGGAGTAGTATCATCATCTCTTCCTTTAGATGACAAAACAATATCAAGGGTGGGTGTACAATCCGTGTGTTTTTGGAAGCAATGTCATTCTCTCTTCTTCTAGGTTTACGACTCATATCACAGGTGGGGTGTATAACCCTTGTTATATTGGATGGAATCTCATTCTCTTTCAACATGTAACTTTAGAACAATATCCCACGGGGGTGTCCATCCCTTCAATATTGGTACTAATACCATCTTCTCCTTTCCTGGATATGAGAAACAATATCACAGGAGGGTGTACACCCCTTGCCATGTTGGTAGTAATGTCATCTCTCCCCTCTGGTTATTAAGGACAAAAATCCCAGGGTGGCTGTACGGTTCCTACTTTATTGGGAGTTATATCATCCACTCACCCCCTGGATATCAGGAACCATATCAGAGAAGAGGTGTCCACCCCCTTCGATATTGTCAGCCATATCATCTTCTTCCTGCTTGGATTTAGGAATGATACCCCGGGGCTGGCTGCGGTGTACACCCACTGCGATATTGAAAGTAAAATCAGCCTCTTTCCCGCTAGATATTAGGAACTATATCACAGGTGTGTGCTGCACCTTCTTGGATATTGTAGTACTCTCAGCCTCCACCTCGCTGCATATTAGGAACAATATACGGGGGGTAGGGTGGTTACACGTCCTGCAATGGTTGAGAGCAATATTCTTCTCTTTCCCCTGTACATTAGGAACCACATAACAGGGGTCTGTATGCCTTCTGCGATATTAGGATTAATGTTATCCTCTCCCCCAATGAATGTCAAAAACAATATCACAAAAGGGTGTACACCCCCTGATATGGCCAGTAATATCATCGTATCTACCTTTGGATACTAGAAAACAACATCACAGAGGGGTGTATGCTCCCCTGCGATATTGGGCATAATGTTATCCTCTCTTCCCCTAGATATTAGGAATGATATCCTGGTGGTGGGAGGTGGAGACATTAAGAACAACATCATTGGGTGGGTGTACACCCCTTGCGATATTGGGTGTAGTATCATCCTCTCTTCCCTAGGATATTAAGAACAATAACACAGGAGGGGTGTACAGCCCCAGCCCCTGCGTTATTGGGAGCAATAGCATCTTCTCCCCTCTCGATATAAAGGAACAATATCCCAAGGTAGGTGTACATCCCCTGGGAATTGGGCGTAATGTCATCATTTCCCAAAGTGGATATTGGGCATAGTGTCCCAGAGGGGTACACCTTCTTCGATATTGGGAGTAATATCATCTTCTCCCCTCAGGTCGTAGGCAAAATATCGAAGGGTTTTACAACTCGTGCGATATGTCAGTAATATCATCCTCCCTCACCTAGATGTTCAGAACTATATTACAGCGGTGCATACTTCTTGATATTGGGAGTCATATCATCCTCTCCCACTCTGGATATAAGGAACAACATGACCGAAGGGATGGACACACACTGCAAAAGTTTCAATAATGTCATCCTCTATCCCCTGGCTATAGGAATAACATCATAGAGGGGTGTACACTTCCTGATATTGGGAGTAATATCATCCTCTCCCAGCTGGATATCAGGAACAAGTCTATTAATTATTAATATTAATAACTATAGTAAAAATTAATACAATCGTCAATATTAATAATCACAATAAAGATAGTATAAATTAATATTGGTAAAAAATATTAACGATTAGTATAACAATAATCATAATATCAATATTAACAATAAAATAATGATATCAGCAATTAATGTTACTTATATCAATACTAAGTGATGTTGTAATAAAATAATAATTAATATTAAGAACTAATAATATTGTTAAATGACATTAATATTACTAATTATTTTCAAGCGTGCATAATCATATATTTAAAATAATTATCCATAATTAATAATGATATCATATTAATTGTGTGATTGATAATTATTAAAATCGACATAGATGTTTAATAATCATATTATTACTCCTAATACCACAGGGGGTGTACACCTACCTGTGATGTTGTTCCTAATATCCAGGGACAGAAACATGATTTTAGTTTTAATATCATAGTAGGTGTGCATCACCCTGTGCCACTGATGCTAATATCTAGGGGGTAGAGTATGACATGAATCCCAACATAGCAATGAATGGAAAGCCACCCAGTGATATTGCTCTTAATATTCACAGAAGAAGCGTATGATATTACTCCCAATATCGCAGGGAGGGTACAGCTCTTCTGTGATATGGTTCCTAGTATCCAGAAGGGGAGAGGATGTTAATAATTCCAGTATCCAGGCTGTGTTCACCCGTCCTGTGATATTGTTATTTATATCCTGGAAGGGAGAGGATGATATTACTCCCCATAGAGCAGAGGCATACACCTAGCCTGGGATATTGTTCCTAATATCCATGGAGAGGAGAGGCTGATATTACTTCCAATATGGCAGGGGGTGTACATCCACCCTGTGATATTCTTCTTAATATTCCAAGGCCGAGAGGTTGATATTACTCCCAGTATCACAGACACTGTACACCCCCCGTGTGATACTCTTCCTGATATCCAGAACGGGAGAAGATGGTTTTAATCCCATATCGCAGGAGGTGAACACACACTCTGTGATATTTTTCCTAATATGCAGGGGAGAGAGGATAATATATTCCCAATATTGCAGAAGATGTACACATGTCCCCGTGATATTGTCCTTAATAATCCAAGGCACAGAAGATGATGTTACTCCCAATATCACAGAAAGTGTACATCCCCCAGTGATGTTGTTCCCATGATCCAGGACGGGAGAGGATGATATTACTTTCAATATCGCAGGGGGTGTATACGCCCCCAGTGATACTGTTCCTAATTTCCACCGGGGAGAGGATGATACTACTCTCAATATCGCAGGGATTAAAAATATGGGGGTGTACAGTGTCTGTGATACTAGGAGTAATATCAACCTCTCGGCCTTGGAATAGAAAGAAGAATATCACAGGGTGGATGTACACCCCCTGCCACATTGGGAGTAATATCCTCTCCCTTCCCAGATATTAATAACAATGTCACAGGGCCGGTAAACACAGCCTGTGACACTGGAATTATTATCATCCTCTCCTCTTCCGGATATTAGGAATCATAACACAGAAGAGCTGTACCCTCCCTGCGATATTGGGAGTAATATAATACGCATCTTCCGTGAATATTAAGAGCAATATCACCGGGTGGCTATCTATTCATTGCTATGTTGGGAGTCATGTCATACTCCACTACACTGAATATTAGGATCTGTGTCACAGGGTGAGTGTACACTTATTGTGATATTAAAACTAAAACCATGCTCTCCCTCCCTGGATATTAGGAATGACATCACAGGTAGCTGTATACACACTGCAGTATTAGGAGTAATAATATGATTAATTATTAAACATCAATGACCGATTTTAACAATTATCGATAATACTAATAATTAATAGGATACCATAATTAATTATGGATAATTATTTTAAATATATGATTATGTAAGCTTAAAATTAATTATCAATATTAATGACATTTAGCAATGCTAGTAGTTCATAATATTAATCATTATTTTATAACCAACATCACTTAGTATTAAGTAACAATAATTGCTGATATCATTTCATTACTAATAGTGATATTGCTATTAATTGTTACTACTAATGTTAAAACATTTTAACCAGTATTAATTTTTACTATCTTTATTGTGATTATTATGTCAATGATTACTATTAATTTATATTATATTTAATAATAATAATAATTAACAGACTTGTTCCTGATATCGAGCTGGGGGAGGATGATGTCAGGTGGGGAAGCTTCGTGCAGGTTCCCCATGACAGGGGGAAAAGCAACGGAATCCAAATGACAGTCCTTACTTGGGAAGCCTAGAAGGCCACTGGGAGGATGGGAAGGTTGGCACATGAGGGAAGGTGCAGAGGGGAAAGGGCACAAAGTTCCATTTATGTATCACAAAACACAGAACGGGACTGGGCCCCAGACAGGGTTCTCCCTGTCTCCTGGGGAGAACCGGGGGGCAGGGCCTGAACTTTTTCTCTTCTGCAGGCAACAAGACCCGCAGAGGAAGGCTCTCCTCCAGATCTTTTCCGGGACACCTCCGGAGAAGCTGCCGCCAAATCGAAAAGCATCCATGGAATCTTGTGATTATCTGAGGGTGAGTGTCACCCTGGGCCCTGGTTTTTTCTCCTCTAGGTCACCCTGGTTGATTTCCTTTCAGGTTCCCGTGTGCGTGAAGGCATCGGGGAACCCCTCTTCCCTGCCTTCTTGGGGTCAGGGACTCCACGATCCTTCCAGGTCCATTTGATTCCAGGTGAAGGCATCTGAAGGTGCCGTATTTGCTGTTGCTTTCTTTCCGTGCAATGATGGCAAGCCTGCAACAACATCTTCCTAGCGGCCTGAGGAAATTAGTCCCTCAGGGCCCCAAACATGAGGAGGCTCACCCCAGGAACATGCATGTTTTCAGAAAAGACGTCCTGGGAACCCTTGAGCCACCAACCTGCCTTCAGAAGGGCATTAGTCCGTCCCACTTCATGGAAGGCTGAGTGGAGGCGCTTTGATCCAGTGAATGCCCAAGACACAGTCTTTAGAAAAATGGTATTCTTAGACCATAGCTCGAGAGTGCATTTTTCATGGGTCTTGTCCCGATCAGCACTCACGTTGAGGATCTGTCCCTACTTCCAAGGACCGCCTGTCCATACCGTATTAAGAATTTCCTGCTGTGTGCACCTTGTCATTGGATGTGGTTGATTTCCATGTTGGCTCCATGCCGAGGAACCTCTAACGTGTGTGGTCTCCTTTCTTTCAGGTTGCAAGCAGGCCAATGCCGGTCCACACAACCAATAAGAGGCCACGCGTGGACCCTGCCCTCACTGATGGCTCAGCTACCAAAATGTCTGACACGGTATCCGTCTTGGCTTCGCTGTCTCCCCTCAGAAAAGCCAGTCCGAGCTCCTCGTCAAGTCTCCGACCGAAGGAACGACAGACAGGGGCTGTGGCCCACATCCCTCAGCCGGGAGTCAGGCAGCAGGGCCCGGAGCCTCTCGTCATGGTGAAGCCGACACACAGCAGGCCTCAGGGTGGCCGCCGAGAAGTTCCCCAGGCTGCCTCCAAGCCCCACGGCCTGATCCGGGTCATCAGCCCCCAGGCACAAGACAAACGTCCTGCGGTGACCTCACAGCCCTGCCCACCAGCCGACACACACAGCTTGGGCCTCGGCTCCAATCTCAGTTTCAGGCCAGGAGCCAAGAGACCTGCCCAGGCTCCGACTCAGGCTTGCCTGAACTTCCCCAAGAAACCGAGAACGGGTCCCTTCCAGATGCCCGAAAGTGCCATCCAGGGAGGTGAGCTGGGGGCCCCGGAGACTCTCCAACCTCCGCCAGCTGCAACCGAACTCAGACCAAGTCCGTCGCCCCAGATGAGCAGGGGGACACCCGCCCAGGTGCCCAGCAGCGACCGGCAGCCTCCGCACAGCAGACCTTACCTGCCTACTGCCCAGGCCTGCACCATGTCCCATCACCCAGCGGCCAGCCACGATGGGGCCCAGCCTCTCAGAATGCTCTTCCGGAGACTGGAAAACGGATGGTGGAGCTCCAGCCTCCTGACAGCTCCCTCGTTTCCCTCTCCTGAGAAGCCGGGAGACTTCCTCGCTCACAGCCCTCACGTCTCAGAGAAGTCTGAGGCTCCCTGTGTTCCTGTCCCGCTGAGTGTCCTCTATGAAGACCTTCAGGTTTCCTCCTCCTCAGAGGACAGCGATTCTGACCTGGAGTGAGACTACAGGTGGCCGGGGCTCCATTGCACCCAGCTCCCGTGACTTGGAGGGGTCTGTGGGACTGAGGAGCACGGAGCAGAGAGCAAACTGTGTGTGGTGACTCCCAAGCTCCCCGGCTGTGGTGCTTCTGTGGATGTTGGAGCCCAGGCCAGGCAGGGACCACATGCAGAGAATCTGCCTCATCGAATTCTGGTGAGGGACATTGTAGTTCGCAGGGCTCTCCGGAAACCCGCCACCAGAAGCTTCTGTGCCAGTGATTCGTTGCCTCAGAAACTGGGTGACGGCGACGCGTGGGAGTCAGACTTCCGCTGTGATGTCAGTAGGAAACTGGGGAATGACTGTGTGTTTGCTCTCTAGATGACTGAATCAGGGAACAGTTAGGGAACCCTGAGAGATGCAGGCCTTCAGCTGTGCCCCGCCCTGACAGCAGTGTTTTGGATGCTGTGAAGCGTTCTGCGCAAAGCGTTCTTGGGGTGTTTCCTCAGCCTGGAAAATTGGGCTCTGGAATGCCTTTGGAAATAGGTGTGTTTAATTTGTTTTGAAGTGAATAAAATTCTCAAAACGATGACGTACTCTCTTTTGACTTTCATTCCGTTTTGTGTGTAACTGATTTTCCAAGGGCTTGAAAATTCTTGACTTGTCAGCAATCCAAGTCATTATGTTCCGAAACAGAGTTGATTGAGGGGACCGCAGGTCTTCGCAGGACCTGTGACTTCTTAAACATCCACAGGGGCAGAGAACCTCAACCCCACTCTACCAACACGCACCTAGTCAAATTCCGCCAAGTGAATCTCACGCACGCTAACACGTGGGGAGCGTCGCTTGCCACCACGAGTCCCCATTTGGCTCACCTGATGCCACGTGGGGTCAAACTGTGACGGCCCCCATGAGTGGTTCCGGATGTGCGTATGAACGAGGCACATTTCATTCGCCCAATAGAACCCAGTAAAGCTGAAATAAACTCCCAGATTTGGGATGTACTTCAGAGGTAGAATATTCTCTCTTCTTTCGGATGCCTGAGCACCGGCCCTTCCATCTTCTCCCCCGATCCTAAGAGTAGCTGAGGTCGAGACTCACTGAAAGCTCTAGGAGGATCCCCATCACAGGCTATCTCCGTCTCTGACCGGGAACAATCTGACCAGATTCCACATCTAGGAGGCCTCGAAATGAGGGGATTTCTGAGCAACCAAATGCTGTCCCTTCCCCCGGTTGGGGGTCGTACTTGTTATCCGACCACCAGAATATCAGTATCCAGAATCAACAAATCAACTCTGCTCCTCTGACAGCAAAGGCATGACCATGCCAAAGAGCGGGCGGTGTGGCGGGCTCAGGAAGCCACAGGGGTTAATGTTCCACCTGAACAGAATAATTAAGAAAGGAATAGAATAAAACGTATGGCTATTCCTGTCTGGTTTGTGGAGGACAAAAAAAACTGTAACTGTTTGGATTGGCTTTGTGGGGGTGGGAAGAACGAGAATGTTTTTTTTCATCTGGTCAGAAAAGAAAATAATTCTGGGGGATCAAAATAATTTGGAGGTTTCCCTAGATATTGGATGGGGTGTTAAATTGATTTCAAGGTGAGTCTACTTGATGCAGTGAAGCATATTTGGCATATAATACATATGGTTATATTATTTTGTCTATATTACCTCATTTTAAAAACCATTTTCGTGAAAAATGTCAGAGTTAGATATACCAATGTTAAATTTCTGATCACGTGTCCAGAAGCACTGTAAAATGCAGCCTAGAATGCAAAATTCCCAGCCACTCTTTGTTGAACTCTCTGCAGAGCGGCATTGCATCCAGGGGTTTTCAAGGTGCACTAGTGTGGCATGAGCTGGTCTTTGGCTTCCTGCTGAAGTTGGAATCGTGCAGATTGTTTAGGGGTGGTGTCGGCTTGTCCCATCTTTCCAGGTCATCATTAACCTTTCCTCGGCACCCACGTGGACTCAGAACTTACCTAGAGTCACAGGCAGGTCTGGGAAGCTGCCCTTGAGCCTTTGTGCAGTCCATGATGGTTCCATGCCTCTGATCTGCTGGGGCACATTCTGCAGAGGGATGGGCTGGCATAAGCTGTCCGTGCCCTTCTGAAAATCACGGAGATTCCTGGTACCTGAAGCCACATAGAAATATCTGTGGAGTCTCAGGCAGGACAGGGATGTCATTCACAGGCTCCTGTTCTTCCACTTAATGGCCGCAAGAGTGATTCCTAGGTTTCCTAATTAACTTCAAAACAATTTTGGTGACTTTGTTGTGTCAATGACCACTCCCGTTTCTGTGGCTTCCAGTTTACCTGTAAGGTTTTTTGGGGATTATGTGGAAACTTGTGCATTTTTCCAGAGCCTCACTTCATCCTGGATGCTCTCAGCATGCACAAGCGCATCCATGCCTTGGTGGCATCTTGGAGCATCGCAGGAGACCCCTTAGGTCTAGGAGGCACTAGGAGGTCCATCAGAAATTGGGCGGGCATGTGTCTGCCCATCTGTAGTGTGAACTTCTATTCACCTTCAGAATGCAGATTCTTCCTTAACTAATAAGTTATCTTCATCTTGGTGTAAGTAGCCACAAAAGAATAATTCATATTAACTACATTAATAAAAATAACTGAAAATCAACAATGAAGATAATAACGACAATGTTATTTATTATAATATTGATAGTAATAATAAAACAAAGGCATTAGAGATTAGAGATTCCCTTAAGTGAAGGACAATGTGAAGATATAAGGATACATGAGTTGTTTGGACTCAGAGTCCAATGAAACCTGTTCCTCAAAGGCAAAGACAAGAAGCATAAGGAAAATACAAAGTTCATGGATGACCACCTGGGCTACCTTGGAACTCATGTGGGAACACTGCAGGCAAAGTGTACCTTGTCTTGGGACTGCCCACCACCCAGCCCCCACTCACCTTCATGAGGTAGGACAGCAGGATAACGGAGAAGGAGTCCATGCAAGGGATGCAAGACTTGTGTCACACCAGATCAAAGAAGCACTGCTTATGACAGATGTTTATCTCCTAACACTGTGTCACTTCTAACTGCCTGGCTGCATGTCTGCCCTCTGTTCTTCTTAGGTCACAGAAGGGACAGACATTACTGTCCACCCATCTGCATACAGAGCCATTGGAGGACGTTACCCTTGTTGCTTCCTCCTTGGAAAGGGGCAACATACATGGCAGATGCCATTCTCTGTCTCTTTGGAAAACTTTGCCAGCACATTTAAGGTTTTCTTCAGCCACAGAAAGCCACCTGCTTCAAAGTCTCACCCTCCACAAGTGGCAAGCCCACAATAATTAATGGAGGCACGGGATGCATAGGCTTTGCCATTTGATTCAGTTGGGACAAATGGGGAGGTCTTCTTAGCTGAACAGCTCTGTCTGTGCGGCCAGTTGACAAAGTCAGGCTGCATTGCCATTAGACTTGTCCCTTTGCACGTAAGGCTTCCCTCCAATCCTTTCCACAGATGTGGATCCTGACATTACTTCCTAATAAACATCCTGCACACTAAACTTCATCTATATCCAGCTCCCTGGGAACCAAACCTGTGACAAAAGTGAAAAGTTTCTAGGGAAAATATGGTTTCCTTATCAGACAGGGATCAAATTCTCTGAGCTAGAAAATAAGGTAAAGTCTGATGCCATCTCATGATTTTTTTTATTAGGACATTACCACTGCCAGCAAGAATTATGTGCATCAATTCATGGGGACAAAAATCATATTGGAGTGGGATGAGGTTGTTGTGAGTTGAGGAGAAATTTTGATGAATGAACTTTACCCACAACTTGAGTTCAGGAGAAGAGATGAAGATGAAAACAGCTGGAAATAAAAGTTGTCCAAAAACATTTTTCTGGTTTTTCAAAAATCAAATTTCAGGTTGGGAGACACTATGTTTAAATTCTAAAAGGATGTAGCATACTGAGAGGAAATAACTATAGATAAATTGTCCTTTTTGTAAATAATACACTTTATAGTATGACGGGAGACCAAGGGACACAACACAAATTTGGAGTTAAAGAAACTAACAGACATTCTCGATACTCAGCTGTTATGGCAGAGATGCCAGAATGATGGATGTCCATGTAGCAGTACTGTTTTTTTGTTTTTGTTTTTGTTTTTGTTTTTTGAGACAGAATCTTGATCTGTAACCAGGCTGGGGTGCAATAGTGTGATCTCAGCTCACTGCAATCTCCACCTTCTTGGTTCAAGAAATCCTCCTGCCTCAGCCTCCCAAGTAGCTGGGACTACTTGTGCACCACCACACTCAGCTAATTTTTGTATTTTTAGTAGAGATGTGGTTTCACCATGTTGGCTAGGATGGTCTCAATCTCCTGATCTTGTGATCTGCCCCCCTTGGCCTCCCGAAGGGTTGGGATTAGGGGTATGAGCCACTATGCCCGGCCCATGTAGCAGTACTTTTGAACTTAATGGCTGAAAGCATCCACCTCCAAACTTATGTATTATATTTGCAAAAGAGTACAAACCATGTAATGAATTTTAAAGGGAAAACAAGCCTGTGGGAATTCAACAGCCATGGCAACGTTTTGAACTTCTTTTTATTAAACATGTAGGAAGTAAGTGAAGTTCAAGACCTAACAGAATTACCAGGAATTATTTGAAGAATTACCAAGATGACTTAGACACTATGAAATCCTTACGATGCCCTCAGGTGGAGTTTCCTCCTGGAGCCAGTGATTTTAAGCCAGAGGCAAATGTCTCTGCAGGCATAAGAATTCGACCCAAATGTACTATTCAATTTTAAATGAGATGACAATAAAATTGTCGGCTATATAGTAACAACTTTTTTTTTTCTTTCAGACAGATTCTTTCTCTGTTGCCTAGGATGGAGTGCAGTGGGGCACTCTTGGCTCACTGCAATCTCTGCCTCCTGGGTTCAAGTGATTTTCCCATCTCATCCTCCTAAGTAGCTGGGATTATAAGCATGTGCCACCATGTCTGACTGATTTTTGTATCAGCAAAATTATTTCTGGGGTGGAGAGTTAGGGACTTTTATTCTCCCACATCCAAAAATATATTCTCCAAATGATCTGTCAATAGAAATAACTGATACCTATATTTGCTAACCTGTCTTTTTCTTTCTTTAAATTCAGAACTAGAGTGTGGAAAAGTTATATTAAGAAGGTTCTCTCAATTTTCAACACGAGTGATGGGCTAGGCACTATTCTAGGTGCTACAGATACACATTAACATACCCACAATAGTTTTGCCTTATTACCTCCTACATTCTAATAATGCACCAAAAGAAAAGTATAGACTAGCTTTTTACTTTTTTGAGATGAAGGTTAATTCTGTCACCCAGGATGGAATGCAGAGGCAGGATCTCAGCTCACTGCAACCTCTGCCTCCCGGGTTCAAGCGATTCTCCTGCCTCAGCCTCCTGAGTAGCTGGGATTACAGGCATGTGCCACCATGCCCAGAAAATTTTTGTATTTTTCAAAAAGAATGCTTTCATTATGTTGGCCAGGCTGGTCTCAAACCCCTGGCCTCAAGTGATCCATGCACCTCGACCTTCCAAAGTGCTGGGATTATAAGCATGAGCCATAG